ATATTGTCTTTTCAAGTTCAACAATTCTATGGAGTCAAAAAAAAAAAAATGTCAATTATAGTGGCAGACTTCAAAATTGTGGAAAGGGTTAGAGTAAAATTATTTAGAACTTTTAGGGTTAAAGTTTTTTTTAAAAAAAAAAAGCCCAATTAATACACATTAATGTGTGTTTGAGAGAGAAAAGATTAAGTACACAGCTAACTTTTTTGGCATAATACACAAAGTGATGGCCCTAAGACTTGAACCCATAACCTCAAAGTCATCATTAGATTTCATTATTGTAATTATGTTATGATTGATACAATGATAATAGCATTTTTAATCCTTATTAGTTTCTTTCATGTATATTCATACCTATCTGTTGATCCTTAAAAAAGGTGCGCCATACTCAAAAGTAGTTTTACCCTATAGTGAGTTCTTGATATATTTTTTTAGTTTTTTAGAGCCATTTTGGGTTGTAACTAGTTCGTATTTTTAGGTAGACGTGAATACTAGATGTAGAAAATTGTAAGTACTTGAATTGTATTTTAGAGTTGTTACACTTCAATTGTACTTTCAGGTAGTATGAATAACAGATGTAAGATAATGACTAATCTCACAGGTTAACTTTTTTCTACTTTCTATTAGTTACATACATTCTTATTTTATATATTATAAATCTCTTAAATCATTTTATTGAATTTAGCTTGAGGAAATTGCAAATCAATAGAATAATAAAAAAAATATATTTTTTTTGGTGGTGTAAATTTTTTGTGTACATCGTGCAAATCTTTCCTGTGTTTCGTGCAAATCCTTCATGTGTGTCAGAGTTGCACTAAGAAAGATTCCATCTAAATGCAATTATTTTTTTACTAAAAAAAAAAAAAAACCCAATTAATACACATTAATGTGTGTTTTGGGGAGAGAGATTGAGTGTATAGCTAACTTTTTTGGCATAATGCACAAAGTGATGGTCCCAAGACTTGAACCCACAACCTCAAAATCATCATTAGATTTCATTACTGTAATTATGTTTTGATTGATACAATGATAATAGCATTTTTAATCCTTATTAGTTTCTTTCATGTATATTCATACCTATCTGTTGATCCTTAAAAAAGGTGCGCCATACTCAAAAGTAGTTTTACCCTATAGTGAGTTCTTGATATATTTTTTTAGTTTTTTAGAGCCATTTTGGGTTGTAACTAGTTCGTATTTTTAGGTAGACGTGAATACTAGATGTAGAAAATTGTAAGTACTTGAATTGTATTTTAGAGTTGTTACACTTCAATTGTACTTTCAGGTAGTATGAATAACAGATGTAAGATAATGACTAATCTCACAGGTTAACTTTTTTCTACTTTCTATTAGTTACATACATTCTTATTTTATATATTATAAATCTCTTAAATCATTTTATTGAATTTAGCTTGAGGAAATTGCAAATCAATAGAATAATAAAAAAAATATATTTTTTTTGGTGGTGTAAATTTTTTGTGTACATGCAAATCTTTCCTGTGTTTCGTGCAAATCCTTCATGTGTGTCAGAGTTGCACTAAGAAAGATTCCATCTAAATGCAATTATTTTTTTACTGTCCCATTGATTTACAATTTTCATTTAGTTTTGTTATTGGAGTAAAACAATTTTGATTTTTGGCATGTATAAACCTTTTAAGTTCTGTTTTTTTTGATAACTCAATATCTGACCTGAATAGACCTGATGCCTTCAGTGATTCAGTTTGGTGGATTGTTTGCTCTTGCATTGAGACATTTTTGTTGAAAACTTAAAGAAAGCTAAAAAAATAATGGATACACTACAACATTTTCTTAGTTTAGTGACATTTGAAAGTGCCACAAAACTATTATTCTAATGACATTTTTTGGTCTTGTGGCATTTTGAACAAGTGCCACTTCTATCGGTGCCACGGTCGATACGAGTGCCACGGTAGATACTTGCAAGTGCCACTGCACCATCATGACTGAAAACTTTCAATGACATTTTAATGTGATGGTAGATAAAGAGTTAGCGACACTTGTAAGTGTTATTACACCATCAAGACTAAAACCTTTTAGTGACACTGTAATGTCATGGTAGGCACTATTCGTGACGCTATCAAGTGCCATTCATGACGATAATTCGTTGTAGAACAATTTGATCCGCTCTTGCGGAGACTCGAACCGCCAACCTTCCGCACCATAAACCTTATACACCATACTCTTCCCACTACACCTCTATAGCACCACATGATTATATATGCAACATATATTATTTATATAGTACATACATCCATATTAATATAAAAGTATATGTATAAACATAATTATTTTATTGAACATAATTTATGTAAAATAAACTATTTACTACCAAAATAAAAAAAGATCACTTTTGGTGACTAAAAAATCCTATACTTTTGGCTACTAATTGTTTTTTAGTTGCTAAAAAACTTAACTTTTGTCGACCAAAATCGAATTTGGTCGCCGAAGATGCACTTTCAGCTACCAAAATTTTGTTCACCAAAAACTTTTATTCCCGCCTTAGGATTTTAGTTCTCCCACGTTAAAAATGACCACTTTTGGCGACTAAACTTATTTTTTAGTCGCCAATTGTAGACTTTTGGCTACTAAAATTTTTTTTGGCACCAAAAAGCTTTACTTTTGGCTACTAAAATTTTTTTAGTCGGTAAAACTCATATAATCAGTGACCAAACTTATTTTTAGTCGCCAATTGTAGACTTTTGGCTACTAAATTGTTTTAGTCGCCAAAAAGCTTTACTTTGGGCTACTAAAAATTTTTTAGTCACTAAAACCCATACAATCAGCGACCAAACTTAGTTTTAGTCGCCAATTGTAGACTTTTGGCTACTAAAATTGTTTAGTTGCCAAAAAGCTTTATTTTTGGCAACTAATGCTGTTTTGGTCGCTGAAAGCTATACTTTCAGCGATCAAATTTTTTTGATCAGGAAATTTAGTTGCTAAATATGCTTTTTCCTGTAGTGTATATTGAGTTTAATTCATTTATTTTTAATCATTTATTGCATTTTAAAAATTTAGAAAATATATTGGCATTTTTTGTTTTTTCAAAAATGTCATTATAAGCTTGGAAAGTTTTTGGCTTAGTAGCATTTCTCAAAATGCTATAAAATATTTGTTTATGACACTTTTCACGTAAGTGCCATAAAAAGTAATTTGCACCTACCTAGTGTCCTGACATTTTTTAAAAAATGCCATTGCAAATAAAGTTTAGTGGCATCTGTTGGTAAATGTCACGAACATAATTTTTTGTGTCATTATTTTATAAAATGTCATAAAATTGATGTGACATTTCTTTATTGAAATGCCACTAGAGCCTTATATGTTTTGTGGTTCTGTGGCATTTTTCTAAAACATTTAATGCCAAATTTTATTTTTGTGGCATTTTCTAAAAACATGCTACTAGTGTAGTGTCAGTAAAGTGTAAATTTGTTGTAGTGACATTTTTGTTGTAGTGAAGTGACACTTTTTTTAATTGAAATGCCAATAGAGCCTTGTATGTAGGGGTGTGCGCGGTGCGGGTCGGTGCGGTTTGAGAGAAAAATAGAAACCGTATGGCGGGTGGCGGATTGATAAAAGTGTCACTAGAATTTGCCATTTTTCTTATCAAAAACCGGCGGTTCGATTAACAAATAATAACGAATTTGCCTTGGCGGTGCGGTTCGGTGCGGTTTTGGCGGTTTTGGCGGTTTCGGCGGTATTATGCACACCCCTACTTGTATGTTTGTGGCTCTATGACATTTTTCTAAAAAATGCCACCAAATATTCTTTTTGTGACATTTTTTAAGAACATGCCACTAGTATGGCGTCACTAAAATATGTTTTTGTTGTAGTGTTGTGACACTTGTTCATTGAAATGTCACTAGAGCCTTTTATGTTTGTCGTTTTGTGGCATTTTTCAAAAACGTGCCATTAAATATCATTTTTGTGGCATTTTCTAAAAATATGCCACTAGTATAGTGCAACTAAAGTATGTTTTTGTTGTAGTTTTGTGACACTTGTTCATTGAAATGTCACTAGAGCCTTTTATGTTTGTCGTTTTGTGGCATTTTTCAAAAACGTGCCACTAAATATCATTTTTTGTGGCATTTTCTAAAAATATGTCACTAGTGTAGTGCCACTAAAGTATGTTTTTGTTGTAGTGATAAACTGGGGTTGTTTTGGTATCGCATGTGTAATGTTTCTGTTGTTGTAATAACCAAAAATAAATAAATAGTTTTGGAGTCAAAAATAAATACAACAAGATTTATTTTAATGCACCTAATACAACTTATATAACTGAAGTTCAAATGTGAATTCAGCACCTCCACCCTTCAACACCCTTAATGGCCCTACTCGTCTTATGGAATTCCAAATAAATAAAAATTTAATTTTAAAGTATGATGTGCATAATAATGCACCAATAATTTCTTTTGTTTCAAACTCGCATCTTGCATATAGTGTAATACTTACCACTTATATTTGATCTGTTTGGTGTTTGTCAACATTCTATAGACTTTAATTTTAAAAACATCTATAATTTTGAAAAACCAATAATTATATTGTAAAGGTCAAACGAATAAAATAAAAATAAAAATTTTATTGTTAGTAAAAAAATTCCAACACACCACAGATATTAAGGTACTTTTTCTAGTTTCATACTTGATTCCTTTGCTTCTTTTTTTTTTTTTTGAACGAAGTTTCCTTTGCTTGATGGGTATTATCAAAATAATGGGATTATGAATCCATTGGTGATTTGACAAGAAATTCAGGGTATTTTTGTAACTTTGTGTTTCCTCTTAATTGCTCTTATAAAAAGCACAGGAGAGCCACAGTTTGCAGCACAGAAAGTTTTTACAAGTTAGTGGGTTCTTTCCCCAAAAGAGATCTCCTCTTAACTCTTCTCTTCTACTTCCAGCCCCTTCCTTTCTCCCACAAAAAGAAAGGTGTGCCAAATCTATATACTTGTTTAATGTTTGTATGTGTGATCAATTTTCTCTTATCCTTGAGGCCTTCAAAATACTTCTATAAATTACTACATATGTTGATTTATGTATGTTTTGGGGGAGACCAGGAATTGGCTCTCTCTCTCTCTCTCTCACGTTTCTACTTCCAAGAATTCCCATTCAGTTTGAAAGTTGCCACATCTCCACAAGTATACTTGTTAATTCTTTGTCAGTGATTTTGAATCCATGGTATCATTGTTATTCATATCCTTTGTTTCTTGCCAGCGTTTTTTTTTTTTTTATCTTGAAAAAAACATAGAAAGAATTAGAAAACAATATTGGGGTTTATCTTGCCAATTCTGCTACGAATACAAATCACTCACAGAACTGAACATATAATACATATGAATGGATAACGTTTTATAAAGTTTGCTGCTGAAGTTCACATTTAAAAAAAATTAGTCATCAACATATATTTCGTGTCTAATTTTGCGACCATTCTCTATGTTTATAGATTTATTCTTATTTTAAAGAGTGGGTCCAAAAACAAAAAAATAAAAAATCAATAATGCAATGTCAAAAGCTCACATGATTTGTTATGCTCATGCCTCCACCATAGTGATATGACATTTTGATTCAACTGCCAAATTATTTTGTACATGGGAAAAGCATATTTACCTGTTTCATATTTGTGGGTATTTTATGGCTATATATCTATGTCTATATTTATATTATTATTATATGTGTTTATATAAAGCACATAAGAAATTTTTGTTTACTTAAAACACTCCTAGATATAGTAATTGTCATTATTCTTAAATTTTAACTACTTTTAATAATTGTCATAATTATATGAAATTTCAGTGTAAATGATGGAGAAAGCAAACTCGTCTGGAGGACTACTAAGAACTAAGTCAGATCAACTGTTGGAAACAGTAATGGCGGCAATGAAGTCACCGATGTCGAACGAGGCTGTAGGAGGGGCTGAGGCCGGTAGCGGAACCCTATCGAGGAAATCGAGCAAAACATTATTGACAGCAGCCTCGCCAGGGCGCACTAGTAGCAGTAGTAAGAACACACACATTAGGAAGACTAGGAGTGCCCAAATGAAGCTAGACCTAGATGAGGTCAGCAGCGGAGCCGCCCTAAGCCGAGCCTCTAGTGCCAGCTTAGGATTCTCCTTCTCCTTCACCGGCTTCACCATGCCGCCCGATGACATCTCCGATTCCCAACCATTTAGCGACGATGACATTGGTAAGTGTTTTAAGTTCTTAACTCTCGTTTAAGAGGACTATTATATATCACTAGATTTTTTTACCATTCACCACATATATGACACAATATGATTGTTTATTTTTCTTCATATGAAACCAATTATAAGTGTTCATCAGGCAGTGATAAAATTCCACATTTTTGTAGTCATTGATTTTTGGAGAAATAACAAATAAGTGGGTATTTGTAAAAATAATTTCAGATTAATAGAAAACTTTATAAATTTTAATAATTAAAATTATAAATTTTTTTATGAAATAATAATTATTTTATAAAGACTCTGTTGTTGTGTGATTTTCCCTTGATTTTTTATGTCATTTATTTGTATTAATACTCACGATGAGTTGACAAGTATGTAAATGATATAAAACGGTATCTAAGTCTATCTTAAATCTAGGGCCAAGTTTGGCTAACCTAAAAAAGTGCACTTATTTCATCTTTTTATCTTTTTTGGGTCACATCAATCAACATCTCCTCTCTACTTTTTCTACACATAATACAAAAAAAATCAAAAAGTACACTTATTTAATCTTTCCAAACTTGACCTAAATGTTTTGAGTTGTCAAAAAAAAATAATATGTCACTGGAATAAATAGTTCAGTAAATTTGGCATATAAGACACTTAGGGTGTCATTTCAAAAGCAAAAAAGACATTTTATCACTTTATTCTTATTTTTCATATAAAATAGTCATGTGTTTCTATACCATTAAAAAAACACACAATCATGTAATAAAGTTCAATTTGCATAGTTGATCTATATTTAATATATAAATTATGTAAATATTTCTAATTATTTCACTAATAAAATAAAACCATATATTTTTTTACCTAAACTCATGATATTTATTTATTTCCCATTCCTTTTATATTGTTGTATGGGTACTTTTTTGTTCTCTTGCCTTGTGAGAGACGTTATTGTCCACACAAAGTTAAGAGAGTTCAAATGACCAAAAGGACCCTGTGACATATGAGCCTCTTGATTCATATGAACCAATCTAGAAAAGCATGGAGGTGTTTTTGGCCATTTCACAGTGCTAAAAAGACCAATCCTTATCACAAAACGACCAAAGCTTTCATAAGGTTGAGTTTTGTTGGCAAATGATTGGCTTGGATAAGAACACATTGAGAGAGAGAGAGAGAGGAGAGGGAGAGAGAGACCTTGTGATTTTATCTCATGCATGCAAACTGTCAGCCTATGCTTTTAAAGAAAAGGCCACCAAACATTTTTTTAATTATTTATGTATTTTGGAGGAAAATGTGAATACTGGTGAAAAGTGGGCGCTTTGCTCATCCAAAGAGGTAAACTCCAGCTTCTCTGGAGACAAATAATAGGATAGAGATTTTAGTTTACTTACCCAAAGAAATTTAATACTAAAAAAAGGATAAATTATATTGTTTTATCAAAATTTTAGTTTGATCCTGATTATTTTAATTTAAATAATACTAACTCTAAACATTACGGTAAGTCCTATCTAAATTATTGTCAAGTTCTTTTACGTTTACTCTTCATGTAACTCTGTTAAAAAATAATAAATTATAACATTTAGTTTGAATAAAATGATTAAATTTAAACTAAATTTAAATTCTATGATTATTTATGCTAAATAACTATTTATGACTGAATTTCAATTTATTTATTGAAGTCTAGATACTATTTATGACTTCTCTATATTTTATTTTTGTAAGAAAATTAGTGAAACATTCATCCCTAATTTTGAGGTCCAATATGTTTTTTTTTTAATTACTTTAGTTCCACAATAATATTTATCTGTGAAATCAAAGAAATTTTGATGTGAAAATTGAAATTGCTTTGTGAAAATTGAAATTTTTTTGCTAATACAAAATTTTTCTGTGTCGAATTTTTTCTGCAAAAATATTAAAAGATCTCAACTATTATAAAAATATTATATATTTTTTATCTTATAAAATATTAATATCAAAAATTATATATATATATATTTATTTATTTATTATATTTAAACTGTGCCAAACGACTCCACCATATCTTTTACTCTGTTTCTAGTTAATTCTTAAAGTTAACAGCAAAAGGCGAACCAAAAAAGGTTCAAGAAAACATGACTACTTTATGATTGATTACCTAATTCTACAACAAATTGTGGTTACAGCCTCATTCCTTTCCACTACTGTCACACTCATGTCACACTCTTATTTACTGCCATATCCACTTGTCATCAACTGTGTCTAGCCAGCTGTTACATGCCGGAGAAGACAAGTCTTATTTTTATTTTATTTTATTTTATTTTGTTTGATTTATATCTTGGATTTGTTTAAAAAGTTGACTATTTTAATAAGTTATTTTAATTTTTAATTATTTTAATAGGTTAAAACGTTTGTATTTGAAAAGATAGTTAGATTTTTTTATAGTTGAATGTGATATTTGTGAGAAAAAAAAAATAATTATGAGTTTAATGTGACATTTTATTTTACTGATTATTTTAGACTATTTTATCTTTTTATAAATTTTAGCTAAAAAATAAATCAAAAATTCACTTGCCAAACAGGATCATATACGGTATTAAAATAAAATGTAATGAATTACAAGCATAACAATCAAAATCAAATACATTATATAATTAGTACAAATAAATTTCTAAATTGAAAACACCGAAAATTAAAACTCACATGTAGATGAAGAGATTCAAACTATTGATTTCTTAATAAGGTATAATAATTCTGATCAATCGAATTAGTTCCGTTTATTAAATACAAGTTTATTGAGAGTTTCTACTTTCAAATATCAGTATCTATATTTCTTGTTTAAAATAAACTATCACATAAAAACTTATGATTTGAAAATTAATTTCCGAATAAGAACTTATAGTTTGACTATACTTAGAATTTGAAAGTTGATCTTTAAATCATAAGTTTTTGCTTCATAGTTGATATATAATTCTGTTTGAAAATTAATTTTCAAACAAAAAATGATATGTGAAAAAAAAAAATTAATGAAAAAATAGAAGCTCCCAAGTCTATTTCATATTGAGGGTCCTAAATTTTGGTATGGTTTTGAAACTTGTGGCAACAATAATTTAATTTGGAGATGCTTTTCTCTCTCTGCAAAATTTTCTTTGCTCTGGTCCCCCAACCCACCATGAATTTTGGCTAAGATTGTTCACAATTTGGGTAGGATTTTGGTAAGATCATTGTACCCAACAAAGCCACTTTGTGGTCCTTACCTTTGATTTTCTCATCAGTTGTGTCTTTCAAAAATTTAAAGCGTGAGATATCTTTCTTAGACATAAACATTTTTAGTTTCTTAAAAAGTTGTCAAATCACAATCAAATAATGACAACAACTAAACAAAATTATGCAAAAAGCAAGATTTTATACAATCCTCTCCCTCCATCATTTATTTTTTGGTTAAATCTTATTGTCAAGCGGCTACACCGAGCAAGGATCTACGGATGTTATGATATTTTCACGGAACGTCTTTTTTCGTTGTTCCAAAAAAAAAAAGAGGCACATTTTGGCTTGATTATTAGAAAATCCTTTGCAAATAAAAAAAACTTAGTCATTTTGATTAATTTTTGGACCCATCAAAATGTTAGGTAGAAAAATCATTTGATCATGTAGGTAGATGTTAAAAAATGGAATTTATTAGACCAAATAAGTTCAAAGCTTTCTAAAAGAGGATGCTTTAAGCATAATTCTCCCCACAAAAGCCTAGAAAAGGAGGGTCGGGGAGGTATTGAAGTGCAATAACATAAACAAGTACACAAAAATAGTTTTGCTACATAAACAAAAATAAACAAATAAAAGAACGGTTATGCTCTAGACCACCAGCACCCCCACACCGCCACACATTTGTGAGAGAGAGGGAGGAGAGAGAGAGGAAAATAAATAAATAAATAATATGTGATCACAAATCAATTGGGGGTTGCGGAGGTCCAAAGTATTTTTCATAAAAGAATCATACAAAAGAGTCATTGACAGAAATGGAGGTCAGCTTCCCACCCCCTCCCTTACGCCTATTTTGTAGAATTTAGTGATTTATTTTTGTACTTTCTCTATGTTAGACTTTCTTTGACAGAAATTTAGACTTTTTTTTGACAAGTGAAATGAAAATTTATTAACTCGACAAATAAGGTACATCAAGAAAATAAAGGCTAAGGGGAAAAAAAATCATAGCTAAATGGGCATGCCCCAAACTATAATGAACCCAATCCTTAACTAATCATATGCTAAAACCTTAGTCCCAGAAACTGAATGCACCCAAGATAGAAACAAAATCAAAATCCTCTGTTCTTCATGTCCTCTCCCTCCCTGGTAAAGAACAAGTTTCACACCATAAAGAAACAAAAATTGGGACTTAAGTAAACATTTCTACCTCAAATCATTCATAAACACATGAGGCATGAAGCCGGATCAAACAACAGTTAGAATGCCGGTAATTCAAACAATCGACAATATCAAACGTGCATGTATATATATTAGTGTATCAAACAAAATTGGAAAAGCAAAATCAGAAGTCTGCTTATTTATAAATACTGAACATGATTACTTACAGCGGAGGATCTTGAAGCTGGCATACACAAGAAGAGGATTCAAGCAGAACCAACCTTGCCTATCTATCTCAAGGTAACATATATAACATAACAATGACATTCCTACCTTTGCTTGTTTTTTTTTTTTTTTTGGTTTTTTTTGTGTGTGTGTGTGTGTGGATGTACAGGGCATATATATATGTATCGAGATGACAAACCCCTATTTTCACAAAAGAGCATGGATTAATTTTCATACTATATGTATTTGGACAGGAAATGATGGAGATTAGCTAGAGATCAACGCGACCCAGTTGAACATGGCTATCATGTCAGGTTAAGTCTTGTACAGAGTCCTATTTATATGACATTTTTGTACAAGACTTTCCTTTCACCACCACCACAAACAACAATGCAAACAGAACGCCCATAATTCATTGAAAAATAAAATAATATTCATCTAGGAAACAAACATAAGAACTAGTTCAAACTCCTTCATAATCAACTGTGAAATTGGTTTCAAATCCATCATCTGAGACAACTTTCAGGTATATTGTATAAAAGACAATAACTAAAAACACAGCCATGCTCAGTACAAATACTACTATGCTATTTTGTGACAATTATATGTATATATACATACACCTATTATTGTTGCCAATATTGTAAATGGAGACTTTTTTTTTTTTTTTTTTTTTTTTTTTTTTTTTCTGAATATGCAGTTTACGGACGTGACATACAAGGTGGTTATAAAAGGAGTGACATCAACAGTGGAGAAAGAAATATTGAATGGGATTTCTGGTTCGGTGAATCCTGGAGAAGTTTTGGCATTGATGGGGCCTTCGGGGAGTGGAAAGACTACACTTCTAAGTCTGCTCGGTGGCAGAGTGAGAGGGTCGATACCAGGAGGTTCAATTACTTATAATGACCAGCCATATTCGAAGTTCCTAAAGAGCAGGTAATAATCTAGATATACATGAAAGAGCTAGTAGCATTGTATTTATGCGTGTTTGGTTCTCAGGAAATTTACTGTAAAACTCCTATCTTTGGTTACAAGGAATATTTCACTACTCAAAAATCTATATATGAGACTTGAAAACTGGTATAAGACACAGCAGTAGGCAGTCCGAGTAAGGTAAGTAATGTGCTTATGCATATAAAGCAAAATAAAACACTTTCAATTTGTACAAGCTATGTCTATCAGTTGGGCTGCATATTAAGAAAGAGTAGTATACATACACAATAACAGTTTTCTCATAGGCCTTTGTTACATATATTCACAGAAATTCATCATCACTACAACTAATGCAAAGAAAGGTAAAACCTAAGAAGCTTGGACACGGACACGTGACACGACACAAACAAATTGATATTAAAATTTAAAAATTTTATAAACAAATTTAAACTTTCTTGTATTTTTCTGTGTTTTTTGTAAGAAACTAAAGCTTAGTTACCATGCTACCATGGGATGGATATAAAAATTACCTTCTTATAACTTCATCACTTTTATGCTAAACAAACTCAGGAAAGTTCTAACTTTTTTCCACCATTTACTTTGCATTCCCCCACTTTCATCATAACCAAACTTAGCCTGATTAAGACAGATTTCCTCAAAACCCTACCTGATTGAAATTGGTTTTATAATTTCTTTCACCTATATGAATGTTCAATGTTCACATAAAAGTATAGCCTGAACATTACCATTAAAAAAAATAAGTGATGTGAAAATAAAGGGTAATCACAACATGAAATATATTTCAGGATAGGATTCGTGACTCAAGACGACGTGCTCTTTCCTCACCTTACAGTGAGGGAAACATTAACATATGCAGCACTCCTACGGCTTCCAAAGACATTGACAAAACAGGAAAAGGAAAAACGAGCCATAGACGTAATCGACGAGTTGGGCTTGGAGAGGTAAATTCTCATTTCTCTGCTATGCTATTATCTTCAATTATGTGTTAGCTAAAGTTAGATATAGCAAAAACCAGACCACACACAAATGAATCATACCTGTTCTCATGAGCTGATCAATGAGGAATATCAATGTGCCTAGGTGTCAAGACACTATGATCGGTGGCTCTTTTGTTCGGGGAGTTTCAGGAGGAGAGAGGAAGCGTGTCTGTATTGGCAATGAGATTATAATCAACCCTTCTCTTTTGTTTCTCGATGAACCAACCTCTGGCCTGGATTCTACAACTGCTTTGAGGATCGTTCAAATCTTACAAGACATAGCTGAGGTATATTGCATTTCAAGTCCAAAGCTTCAATTTCACATTATTATGAGCAAATTCATGATTATATATGACAACAAAAATACAAATTATAACAATAACAAATCAAACCTATCTTCATCCCAACTTCTCAGAGTTTTCTTTACCCACTATGCCATATCTAGGGCCACAGGTTGTACAAATCATCAGCAAATCACCTAGACAATGAGAGAACAACTTATAGAGGCAACGGTAAGAAACGGTGATATGATCACCATAAATGGAAATGTTACGAGAAGACCTAAATTAACACGGGATGTAGTTATAAAAAAAAATTTAAACTAAGCATATAGCCCTTGACAGAGCAGAATGACGGAAAATGATTCATGTAGCCAACCCCACTTAAGTGGGACATAAGGCTTACTTTAGTTTGGTCTAATTTGTTTCAATTTCATCGCAGGGTGGGAAAACAGTGATCACCACAATCCACCAGCCATCCAGCAGACTCTTCCACAAATTTGACAAGTTAATCCTTCTTGGAAAAGGAAGTTTGCTTTATTTTGGAAAGGCATCAGAAGCAATGGTTTATTTTTCATCCATCGGATGCTCCCCACTAATTGCCATGAATCCAGCAGAGTTCCTGCTAGACCTCGCAAATGGTAACATAAATGATGTCTCTGTACCATCCGAATTGGAGGACAGAGTGCAAATGGGAAACTCAGAAACAGAGACAAGAAATGGGAAGCCCTCTCCTGCAGTTGTTCATGAGGTAAAGTAATATTGAACTCAAAAACATAAAAAGATGGGTTGTCACACATTGAATGACTTCCTCAAATATTAATGAAAAACAACGCATGTCATTCAAAAAATTCTAGCTAAAACTAGTAAAATCGGCTGAAAATTTTATGCCCTTAGAGATGGTATATCATGACGCTAAAGAGTATTTGTAATTGTGATTAGTAGAGTGAGTGCTAGATTATGACTATTGATGTTATTTTCATTTGGAAACAGTATCTAGTAGAGGCTTATGAGACAAGAGCAGCAGACAATGAGAAAAAGAAGCTTATGATTCCTATACCAATTGATGAAGAACTGAAGTCAAAAGTGTATACTTCAAAGCGAGAATGGGGAGCAAGCTGGTGGAAACAGTTCTCCATATTATTCTGTAGAGGACTCAAAGAACGGCGCCATGACTATTTTAGCTGGTTGAGAATTACACAAGTTCTCGCTACTGCGGTTATTTTGGGATTGCTCTGGTGGCAATCAGATGGTAATAGCCCCCAAAACCTGCAAGATCAGGTATGCAATCATTGCCTTGTGAAAATGCACAAGTTGACCAATTAAAATGGAATCCCTAACCAGTTATTGCTCCTCAATCCCCAAACATAGAAGCTGAATAACCCCCCCCCCCCCCCCCCACCCAAAAAAAAAAAGAAAAGAAAAAAAAGAAAGACAAAATATAAATGAACCACTTACATAAAAGAACTCTCAACCATTTTTGAGCTAGGGCTAGAAGGGAACAGAAACTTGAACTACAAACTTTATAAATATTGATTATAATTCAAAAATTGTATTAATTTTGGCTAAATTTGATTAGTTCTCTCAATAAAACAATTCTGTGAAATGTCAGTTAAAGAATGAGAAGATTCCACAGAATCCCATCTAAAAGAAGCTAATAGTTAATTTCATATAGTTCTATGACAAAAGAAACCTGATTTAGGTTGGTCATCGAAATCTTCATTTTGGTCTCAACCTTATACCATAATATACATCTGCATTAATGCAGGCGGGGCTGCTTTTCTTCATTGCTGTCTTCTGGGGATTTTTTCCAGTCTTCACAGCAATCTTCACGTTTCCTCAAGAAAGAGCCATGCTGAACAAGGAACGAGCAGCCGACATGTACAGACTAAGCGCATATTTTGTGGCTAGGACTACAAGCGACCTTCCTCTGGACCTTTTACTGCCCGTTCTTTTCCTTCTTGTGGTCTATTTTATGGCAGGCTTGAGAAAGACTGCTGGTCCATTTTTTCTAACCATGGTTACGGTGTTCCTCTGCATTGTGGCAGCTCAGGTAATGCTTCTTTATTCATCTCGTTGACAAAATAAATACATCGCAAAAAAGTTGCAACGTTGTCTAACAGCTTAAGCTTTTAGAGTAACAATTGTTAATATGGTAACATTCAAAGTAAGAAGATCTTGTGCTTGAATCTTGACACCTGTTTGGTGCAACTTCTTGTAAGCTGAAAGCTACTAATTAGAAAGAAGAAGCCAAAAGCACCTTCTAGATAATCAAATTGTTTCAACTTATTTAAGCTATTTCTGTCACACCCCAAATCCGGGCATGACCGGCCGTGGCCCACAGGGACTTAGCCCAAGACACACGTAAGCCTAAACACGAATCCAATCACATTGAACAACTGAACAATAGTCCAATAATAAATAACCAAAACTCATAAGTAGCTCATATAAGTGCACCAAACAGCCCCTGAATGAATTTATGTGCTCAGCCCGGTCCTAGAGTCAGAAACATATTAGAGTCAGCAACCATTTGTTAACAAGATCAACAAGGTACCATACCACTCCTACAATGCTTCATAACAAGCTTGGGTGCAATGGCAGGGACTTGGACTAGCTATTGGGGCTACACTGATGGACTTAAAGAGAGCAACAACTTTGGCCTCTGTAACAGTAATGACCTTCATGTTGGCTGGTGGATACTTTGTGGCGGTAAGCATGCAATTTGCTTAAAAGTTAAATTTACCTCATCTTTAATTCTCGGAAAGAAAGTACTCAAACAAAACAAAAATCTATACCGAGTTCTTAGATTAATTAACAAATATTTCTGTTGCAGAAAGTTCCAGTATTCATATCATGGCTCCGCTATCTGTCTTTCAACTATCACACATACAAACTTCTTCTGAAGGTGCAGTACGAACACATTACTGACTCAATCAATGGAGTGAAAATAGACAGCGGTTTAACTGAAGTTAGTTGCCTCCTGGCCATGGTTGTTGGTTACCGTCTCTTGGCATACCTATCTTTGCGAAGGACGAAGCTCTAGCTGGGAGGTTAAAGGAGAGAAGATTTTTTGAGTGAGGACAAAGCTGAGCACATTAGCTAGCTTCTGCTTTCTACCAATCGAAGAGCTATCTAGAGAAGACTCTGAGATACAGGGTCACAAATCGGAAACTAAACCACTGATCCAGAACTTTTATGAGCTTTTTTGCACCTCTAAGAAACCTAAACCCTTAATGTAGCGGAAAATACCATAAAGGAGAATATTATATATTATCACAGGCATGTACGTGGATGTAACTGCCCAAAGTTTCCTTGTGGTTGGTTTTACATACATTTTGAACTCAATATAAAGATAGGTCCTTCACATTTGTGAGAGTACTTTATCTGTTGTAACCAACTGCTACTCATACATATCTATTAAATCCAGGTAGCATCTCAAAAATTCAGTTTTGCATTTGGTATTGGAAACTGGAATTGGTTTATGCACTTCTATATCTTAATTATTGGACGTCTCAGAATTGATGTTGAATTCAAAATTCAGTGTTGGATGGTCATTATTGATCAATTCTTCATGAAGTTACTCAAACTTAGTAGTTGGAAAGCTACAAGCATATTTGGTGTTTGTAGTTGAAGCAGCAAGTGATATCTTACTACATATTAATTTATTTTTGTCCTCATTCCACTTTGTTTTAGTTTGGCTTTAGTAAGTTGAATTCAAATAGCACCTCCTTGAAAATTTGCAACCTCCATTTTGTCACTAAATTTCAAATCTTGGTATGGGAGGATTTTTCATATTCAATTTAAGGTGCATTCACCCAAGTAAACTAAGCACAGCAAGGTCAATGATTTATTAGAACTTTCCAATCCATGAATTAAAGAGTACCACAGTACAATTTACTTCTATATGAAGAACCATTGGCAATAATTAAACAAGTTCTGAATCAAATCATGAATTACAATCTAAAACTTTTCTATAAATACAGCCTGAAGTCTGTATAAATAAAAGTTACAACTGACGATTTAAATTTCCAAAATTGACTAAAATCAATGTTGCATAATATACGGATTCAGCATTGACGGTCACCGACTAACTCAAGAGTATAAAGCAAGCATCTTCATGCCTCAACTTACAGTAGGTGGTTGCAATTCAGATATGAGCGACGGTTTCCCTTCCACATGATGATGATGTTTCTTGTATTTCTATCATATAAGTAGTGATTATGCCAATGCCCTTAACCAACCAAGTAATCTAAGAAGAGCAGCATCCAATATCGGGGAATTCTTCTCAAGTCCTGAGGACAAAAGAAAGGAAAATGAAAAATCCCTAATCAAATGAAAGAAGCTATTCAAAGTTGAAGCAAAAATAAACAATGTGGTGATTCAACTTTGTTTTATCACTACTCAATTTTGTGGGAATCTATAAACAGCTGTGATCAAAGAAGTTGAATTTTTTTTGCTCTTTCAAGTACAGTAATAGAGAATTACAATTTTGTCAACCAGGACAGCTCCGCCAATCATAGGCAAAGTGCAGCCATTACCCAAAATTTCTGGTTCTAGAATAACTAAACTGTATAAGAATATCAGACTTTATTTTCAGCCAATGGCAAACATTCTGTTCAAATGAAGGCATCTAAAATCTGCTTACCAATGTCAGCAGCTACACGATGTGCACGCATCACTCCAGAGAAGGCAACGACAATAACACCTTGTCCTGGGAAGCAACTATCTCCCACACAGTACAGACCATCTATAGCCTGCAAGTTCCAAAATAATGTGGTAATTAATTGAAAGACCTGATGCAAATAAAAATATCTATATGTACGAGCAAGAAATAATCTTCTCGTATAATCCTGTTCATTAAATCTGCGCTCCTCCAAACGTTGTCGGTTTACTCCTTGAAAACACAAATATGAGCTAGCCGGCTGGTGTGTGCCGGATACCTCTCCGATGCCTAAGTCAGCAAAATAGACAAATAGGCAAAAAGCTCTGTGTATTCGAGAATTAAAGTTGTGTTACCTCTCCATAGGTGATGTTATGAGTTTTAATAGGTTCCGTATGACTCTTATTCCTCCATGCAGAGTCCTCCTAGGAATCACACTCCTGAAAGATAGTGCTTATCCTTCAACACCCCCTCACTGCTTAAGCCAGGTGAGATGGTTTTACTCCGGTTGGATGACAGTACGACCGAGCTAACCCAGCTCAGATCTTCCTTTCAGTGCCTGTATCTTGGTTAGGCATACTCCAACCGGGCTGTTAACTTAAGACCGAGCTAATCAAGCTTGGTGCTCCAATGCGCAACGCCAAGCTAGCTTGGCTCTCGTTCAGTTGTACCTCGGTTGCTTGTTGAAAACCAGGCTAATCTATGGCAAGCTACGACCGCGCTAACCAGAGCGAGGTCCACCATGAGAAGCCATCATACCTCGGCTCCAAACGCTAAGACCGAGCTAACTCCACTCCAACCGTGGTGATTGTCATTCCATTTGGACCGTGCTAACACTACGGTCCACTTGCCAAGCCCTTTTCTACCGTGGCCCATAAAACGGCCCATTACTCAGCTCGGCCCAATTTACTTATAAATTACCCTCTCAATTGCCCCTTAATTCCATCTGCGCAACATGATTGGGATTACTCTTCTTCCTGCCGAGCTAAAAAGTGGTCTTCAACCGGGCTAAATTCACACCGAGCTACTAATCTGTCCGGTCAAAACGTCTTTTCAGCCACTGTAACTGAATCGCTTCCCATCCCGTGGACACGTGGCAAACGTTCATTGGCCTAGTGAAACTATCACGCCGTCTTCGTACTCCGAGAAATTTGAACAGTCCCGCCTTTTTTCTTACTCTTCAAAAAAACCCCACTCTTCAAACGTAACACTATTCACCTTTTTCTCTTTCTACTTTTTGAAATTTCCTCAATACTGCATCTGCAAAAGCTCGTGTTTTGCTCCTGGTGCCATTTCCATCTCCAGTTCCTCCATTCTTGACTGGTATGTTTACTCAAATTTGTTTCCTTTTTGTTGATTTTGCACCTGTTTTGCAATACATAGCATGCTCATTCCTATGTTTTTCAAAATATATACCATGTTTGCTTCCATTTTTCTGTGAAAAACCATGTAATAGAACCACTTGTACTCACGAATAATCTGAAGAACGATGTATTTGATCCAAAATCACACTCCAACCGAACTAGGAAGTTGTTTGTATTAGGTGCGAACCTAGCCAAACTAAACAACCGAACTAACACTTCATGTCATACTTGTAGTTTCAATGAGTCTAAATACCTTGTGCTTTACTGGCCGAGCTAGCGAACTGCCTTAGGTTCGTGCAGTACTGTGCTAGAAAGCCTCAACCGCCAACCGAGCTATAACTTGGGCTAAACCAGCTCCCTTAGTCAAAACCGAACTAAGAATGCTACTCCAATAGCTTCAACCGGGCTAAAGTCCCTCGCTCAAACCGAGCTAAGAACGATAGTACCCCACGTAGCCGAGCTAGGACTTCATTTATCTTTCCTTTGTTTCTTTTAGCACGGTCCAACCATCTGTGCTTAACACCTTTCTTTTTTACTTTGCAGACTTAGGTTGGCCAGGCACTCCTTTGAACGCTCAATCGAGCTACTCAGCGTCATTTCTCGACCGAGCTAATATTTGAGCTAATTTATTCATAATTTAATAGCTAATGGGTAAATATAGGTTTTTAGTAAACTCACCAGGGGCCATGGCCGAGTTCCGAAGGGACTACCATATCCCTGATGATGTCTATCTTACCTTGACCAACCTAGATACCATACCCTGGGGAAACCCTGGCTTCGTTCCCTTCACCCTTCTTTCCATTGTAGAAACCGGACTGTGATTCCCTGTACAGCCCCTTCTCTGTGAATTTCTCAGACAAACAAACCTTTGCCCTACCCAGCTTTCCACCAATTCTTACCGCATAATAAATGGTATCGCCGAGCTAAACCGCCGGGCTAGCCTTAATCTCGGTTTAGTCGAGCTTTTCCACCAATATTCCATAGGATCGGCTGAAGATGGCTGGGTTTACTATTTAAGAATAAGGCGCCGGCGCGAAAAGATAATAAAGAATACCCCAGATAAGGATGTAAACGATGATGATTTTTTTCTGGGTTTCTAGGAACTTCGAAGACCAAGAAGCCCAGATCCCGGGCGACCAGATAAACTGGAATTAAGGAATCGCCGGTATAATTACCTCGGCTTAGTTTGCTGCATTCTTTTACCTCGGTTTCCTTATCTTGGACCATGCTAACTGTTTGTCTCTTTACTTCATGCAGATTTGAACTTTCTCAAGTCCCAGTACAGCTACCCCAACTTGAATGCACTTCGCGCCACTCTGCGATATTTCAACAGAAGTTGAGCCGAGCTACTGAGTTTTGAATCGACATACAGATATAGCAGCCGTAGGAAGACTAGGGTGACCGATTTCCTCCTTGAGCCTTCACCAGAGCCAGACCCAACCTTGCCTCAAATCAATTTGATCTCGTTGACAGCGGAGCAAGAGATGCCAAGAAAAGAGCAGTAAGGGCCCTCATAACCGAAACAAACCAGGCCGAGGTACCACCAGCCAGCCAAACTCAAGAGGCCGTGGTAGCCCTGCCAACCCATCAGCCTTCATCATCTCGGGCAAGCAAGCATGCTCGGACTTCCACAACCGAACCATGCCTTGTCGACGAGGATGAAACCGTGGTTCCTCAAGCCTCTTCACCAAGTCCTCCACCTGAGCGCTTTGACCGAGCTAGTTCTTCTAAGTGGGTGCCAAAGGTCACCTTCAAGAACCGCGCTATCACTGACTCTGATTCAGTGGTCGCGGAAAAAGATCATTTGTTGGCCTTCAATTTGGCCAAGAGCGTCTGCCTTCTAGCTGACATGGATCATCATGACCACCTTACTGAGCTGAAGGCCATTCGCTCGGCTTCAAAGTCAATGGTGTTGGTAAGTTCTCTTTTTCATTCTCCAAATTTTAACATCTTTTAGCTCGGTTCCTACTTAATACTGCCTCCCTCCCCTCGCAGGCCTTACAGAAGAACCACATTGCTCACAAACGCGTGCTGGAACTTCGAAAAACTACAAGGCAGGCCATGGCAGAGGCCAATGAAAAAACGGCCGAACTAAAAGAATCTTAGCAAAAGATGGCCGAGCTACAGGCTGAAGTAGCCCGGCTCACTGGCCTAGTCAATTCAGCCGAAGCTGATAAGAAGAAGGCTGCGGCCATGGTGAAAGATAAATACTTGCGCGAGCTGGCCAAGCTCAAGGGAAAAAAGAACGCTGAGATAACCGAGCTAGAGAAGAAGGTTGAGGACGCAGAAGAGTGCGGTTACAAGGAGGGGGAGGCCACTTACATCAAGTAATGTGAAGCTGCAAAAGATCTTTTCTTCAAGTGTGGATGGACGGCGGCTGTGGCGCAGCTCGGTCATAGCCCAGAGACCGAGGTCTTC